ATTGTTCTTGATGATGATTACATGACACCTATGTAATCAATGTACTTGATGATGATAACATGATTTCACATTTAATCAATTTGATTGTTCTTGATGATGATTACATGACACCTATGTAATCAATGTACTTGATGATGATAACATGATGCATGAACCTAAACGTGCAAGGACGACCCTTGCGCTATGAGATTCGCTCAGGTTGTACGACGAACTCACGCCACCCTAGTCTCACGAATGAGGTGAGACTAGAAAAATGGGGGTGGTACTCGAAAGCATGAATACCATGTATGTACACTAAGCCCGGAACGGGTGATGTCGGACTGCTAAGTCCCGCACATCACGCTATAAGAGACGCAATTGCGCATGATCTCTTACGCATGCATATGATATGATATGCTACAATATGTGTGATGACATGAGTCATATGATATGAAAAATTTGTAAACAATATGAATGGATAAATATACTTTATTTTATTTGGGTGAAATCTGATAAAAATATCATTTAATTAAGCTACGGGGCTCGGAACGGTCGACCGTTTGGCGCGACGGTCGAGCTTGATCTTCATCAGGTCGGATTGGCGGATCACCGTGACGGTCGACCGTTGTTGACTGGATGGAGACGGCGATTCTCAGCTGGGCAGGCGACGGTCGACCGTTGGCCACCGGCGGTCGACCGTTTGTCTGACAGTCGGGGCCCATTTTGATATTTAACGCGACGGTCGACCGTTTGCGTCGACAGTTTGGGTCTGCGAATCTTTTTCTTGATATTTTGAGTGTCCAAAATACTTCTTTAAGTCTTTTAAGCACCTTTGATTAACATATACATATTGTTGGGTTGATTTCCAAAGTTTATATTTACTTATGTGTATATTAACTTTATGGATTTGGTGTATTTTGATCTCAACATATAGACAACTTATATATGTATCACATATATATTTTGGAATGGTTTTAACATATGGAATAACATATATGTTCATGTATGTATGTGATGAATGATTCGACAAGTCTAACGCAAAGGTACAGACCTGAAATCATTGGCCGAAACCTTACGGATGAGCGGGAGTGGAAACAACATCGAAATTCACCAACTTTGTCAATCTCGTCACAATTGGACAGCCTGCCGTATTTTGGGCATATCTCCATCGTTTCTTCATGGAATTGCAAACCGTTTGATTCTGTGGATTCCTAAGATGTAAGGCTACATTTTTCGTATAGAAAGTATTTCGTTTTAACACATGTAAGATAGTGTAAATCGGACCTGAAGTCAAGGGATAGTTGCTGTCCAGAAGTTTGTATATGTCGATGAACAATGATTCCGACGATTAACTCATTAACTTCAATATTCCAACGTCGAACCTTCTCTACGATACTTTCCGGATGTTCCTAATAATCGTTAGAGAGTTTATGGTGAGCTCTTGGAATGAAACAATATGAATTTGGTGAAGAAGGTGGTCCAACCGAGGAGCTCGCCACCACTGGCACAGTCCCGGTATTTTAGCCATATCTTCTTCGTTACTTAACGAAATCGTGAGCCGTTTGTTGGGCTGGATTCGTATCGTCTGGGGCTACAACTTTGGCTCAAAAAGTATTTCGAGATAATGGATGAAAATTTCAGATTTTACCTAGAAGTGGGCTGTTGTGTTTAAGCTCAGGATTTTGGAAACCTTGATACTTCTTCTTGTTTCTCTTTCTCCTTTCTTGGCTCAACAATGGAGTTAGAGCTGGTTTTTCCTCCTTCTTGGACTACCGACAGAGAGAGGAAATGGGAGAGGAAAAATGAGATGATGATGGTGGTGGTGGTGGAAGATGATAATGAGGTATAATGATGAAGATGGTGGTGGAGTATTATATGATTATTTTGGAGGCTTGTGTTAATGGAGTTGGAGGAGATTGAAAAATAGGCTTGTGAGATATCCTTGGTTGGCTACGTGATTTGGGGAGATATTTGAGAATTAAGTTTTGGCTTTTAGCCAAAACTGAACAATTTACTCCAAACGATACGCGCTTTTTCGCCCAAATTGTTCCAAATTGAAAACGGATTGTGTTTTTGGAATCAGACTGTCAAAACTAGAATTTTGATGTAATCGAAATATTTTTCTGAGAACTTTTATTTTTCTCACTGTTCAGGTCTGTCTCAGTCATAAATCAATTTAATAATATGAATGAGATATAAATATATGGATTAAATCCAAATGATAAATATGGTGTTGTCAAGTGTCAAAATTATGATTTCTAATCTTATAAAATCACTTTTGAATTGAGTTTATTTTATGGGTCAAAGTTACAAATTTTAATATTTAAAATTGACATAACTTGAAATCTATAAATCAGATTGGTTCTTAAAATGTACCGTTGGATTCGTCTCTTCGAGACATATCCATAAAAGTAAGTTTTTAATAAAAAGTCATTATTTTGAAAATCCATTTATTTTTAGTCAAACGTATAAATGTTTCTTATTGGACAAAAATATTCAAAACTACTTTTGTTTTATAAAATTTAGGTAATGTTTCGTGGCGTTACAGTTCACCTATGAGGCTGAGTTTGTGTCTAAAAAGCCACTTGCCAGAGATAATATTTTAGTTAGGGGAGGGTGGTACTAAATCCCATGTATTATTAGCAATCAAAGCATTATATTGATCTAGCATAGCATTGTACCAATTAGGATCTTTAAGTGCACTACGGTAGGTAGGAGGATGGGGGATATACTAACAACGGTAT